ACTGCAGTGTTCAGCACACCCTAGAGTTCTCTGTACTCCTGGAGTAGTATTGGGTAGACTGTCTCCTTCCTAATTACCTTCATCTTTGATGCAAAGAACTTCAAGCTCATGAGGTAGACAAGATGTCAGCCCTATGGCAGCTTCTATTGCCTTAAAAATAAAGTAGTTTGATGTCCTGGGCAGAGATATGGCAGGGGCCTTCAGGTGATCAGGGCACAAGAGCAGTGCTCATTCCTGCATATTCTAAACCAAAAGTTCAAAGGGAAAGGAAGCAGAGTTGGTTCTTCTCTTAGCCAGGAGCCTATAAAGATCACCCACTCTGGAATTAGTAGAGACAGTACAGCTGCACACAGTGGAGGCCACAAGAACTCACAAGTAGCATGGTCAATACCACAGTGGACAAATGCGCAGTTCAGTTCCCTTCCTTTTGGGGTATCCCCACTACTCCGGGTGAGTCTTCAGCACAGCTGTTACTATGTGACCTGCCTTGCTGGCAGCAGGCACAGGGAACGTCTGCAGATCACAAGTCTTGGGCTTCCTTGGCACCTACCCTTCCCGAGTCATCCCTGATTGCCCTGAGAATCTGTATTTTTGCCCATCTTTTGAAGTATGCTCTTACCAACCTTCTGCTCTCTGCTTAAACATTTGAAGACAGAACTGAGCAGAACAGATGGGCTTTGTCTTCTTAAAGAGTCATAGGTAATTAGATGACAATGACAATACACTAGTCCAGTTCAACACAACCTCTTCTGAGGTCACCAGAGCCATCTGCACGGAACATCCCACTGTCTGCCCTTTCTCTGCTGAGGGAGATGACATTTTGACCAGTCACTCACTTCTTTGAATAAAACTCTACAGTGGCTTTTCCATTGGCTTAGTTTGAGCTGCCATTTAAACAATGCCATAAGGATTTCTCTCAAAGTTCTGGAGGTTGAAGTTTGAGATCAGGGGGCCAGCAGGGTTGGGTCTTGGCAACTATAAACCAGAAAGGGTTTATAGTTGTCTTTGTGCTGTGTCCTCACAGAGGGTAAAAAGTTCGAGCTCACTTGCAGGGCTTGAAATCCCACCAATCCCCACAATGGAAAACTCAACCCCTTACCCCCCCCTCCCCGCCAGGAACCCTATATAAAGCCTGCCACTTGCTCAGTTCTTTGCTGCTTCTTGCCCAAGCAGAGGCAGCCATCTACGTTTTCTCCAATAAATCTCTCGTGTGAGGTTTATTGTACCATGTGACTTTGTAGAATCCCTTAGCTCCCAACTGCCAGGATAGCTTTCCCTTCAGAGCTGTAACACTTGCACTGAGGATAACTTTCTCTCAGAGCTGTAACACTTACAGGAAGAGCTGCCCAGTTTCCTGGCATTCTTCATAAGGTGCATCATGGGGCTTTACTCTAATGACCCCATTTGTCCCCCAAAGGCCCTACCTGTCTACTTCATTGGGATAAAGCCTTCAATATGAATTTTAGGGTAATATAAACATTTTATTGCTAGGAATAGAGGCATACTCCAGTGATGCCAGCACTTGGAAGATGGAGATGCAAATGGATCAGTTCAGTTGTTCTCAGCTGTACAGCAAGTTTGAGATCAGCCTAGCGGAGGCCTGGCGAAGATTGCTGTTCTTTGATACTTCTGCCTCCAGTGATAATGGAGAGACTTGGGTATGGCTAACTGTATATGGACTGGCTTCTGTTGCTTTTTAATAGATTCGGAAACTGTATAAAATATACCCTTCTCAGATCTCTAAAATATTAATGGTTGTCAGCTTGACAGCATCAGGCAGTCAGATCTACTATAGACTATAGTCAGTATGTAAGCGATAAAGTAATGACTATCTACTGTTTAGGCACAAGCTAGGTTTTTAGGTTTATTTTGGTTGTCATCTAAGTAAAAACTTAAAGGGCTTTTCATCAGGCCAAAGGCACCTCTGTCCAATCCATACCTGGCTCTCTGGACAGAAGAAAATGTACTTGCTTCTAGACCAAATCTGTATTTTTGCTTGGACTCAAAATTATAAATATGTTCCTGCTGTTTAAACAGATATCCAGATATCTGCTTTTTCTGCACTGTGGGCTTCAGTAAATAAGTTTTAACTTCTGTTCCTGGTTTAAACATATCTTAAACAGGTTTCTGCTTCTGGCAGACATCTGAGTATCAGTTGCTGACTACAGGCTGTTCTAAGTAGACTGAGAGCCCTGGACTTGCTGTGGATGTGAACCAGTCCAGCTGATATGAACACCCCGTCTCTGCAACAGAATCTGCTAACCAGAAGCTCCTGATGGTATCCCCATTGCTTAAATTCCCATTTTTGCTTTTGACTAGCATTTCAGCCTTCTTGGGTCCCTTACTTGGTCCCAAAATCAGCAGGAAGTAGCATGAGAATGAATACGTCACCATTCTCTTTTATTAAAATGCTAAGTCAAAAGGAACTCCCTTACATGGGGGACGCCAATATCTCTCACTCCCTGATGGGGACGCTAGAGAGACAGCAATTCCATGATTGGAATTTTGAAAAAAAATGGGGGAATGAAGGTACTAGCTCCCCATTTCGGCAGCCATAACAGCTGAACACATGCTTGCCCTGACCTTGCCTTGGTCACTAGGAAGTCAGATGCCTGCCTCGTGGTAAGGGACCAATTAGAAGTTAGGTGGTGGTGCTATGCTTTACGGCTCTGGGTATGCTTTACGGACAAGTGCACAGCAATGATACGTAGAGCATAGCAACCACCCTGGGAGGGCCTATGGGCCATAATAACCAGTTGACCAATCAACACAGGGCAAACCCTCCAAGCCTGGAGGCACACCAATCCTGAGCCTGTGCGCCCCCCTAGACACTCCCCTTATGCTGCCCTATAAGATCTCTATGCAGCCGTTTCGAGCTGTCTTTTCTAGCCATCCACCATGGTGGGTGGATGAAAGACCCGAGCTAAAATGGGGTTAGCTCGTTAAACAACTATCATAAAGCCTCATGCTTTTTGCATCAAAAGGGGAGGGGGCAGGTCATGGGAAATTACTCAGCAGGTAATAGCAGTAGCTATGAAAGCCTGACAACCCAAGTTCAGCCCTTGGAAACTGCTTCAAATTCAAGTTTGTTCCCCAGAACCCATGTAAAAAGCTGGATGTGTGGGTGTGCGTTATCTGTAACCCAGCACTCCTACACCAAGATGGGAGGCAGAGACAGAAAATTACCCAGAAGCCTGAGGGCCATGTAGCCTGGGATATGCAGCACAACAGAAACTACAAAGACCCTGGCTCAACAAAGGAAGAAAGGTTGTCGTCTGACCCATACAAGCACCATACATAGCACACACATGCCTGCATTCACACTCACACACACAAACACAATTTTTTAGATTTAAAATTGTAATTGGTTGTGATGGTACACATTTGTGATCCCAGCACTCCGGAGACTGTGGCAGAAGAATTCCAAGTTTGAGGCCAGTGTGAGCTACAAAAAAGTAAATATAAGTTGGGTGTTGGTGGTGTACGCCTTTAATCCCAGCACTCAGCAGGCAGAGGCAGGTGGATCTCTTGTGAGTTCAAGGCCAGCCTGGTCTACATAGTGAGTTTGAGGACAGCCAGGGCTGTTATACAGAGGAACCTTGCCCGGAAAAATAAATATGAACCAGTAAGCCCTTTCAGGTTCTTCCCAGTCCCTCTTGCAGGCTCATCACCCATGCCAGCTCCCATCTGGAGATGTCCTCTCCTCTGAGTAGCATTCTTGGGGAAAGAGCTGCAGAATCACTCTTTCGGGCTTCCCCTTTCTCTGACCTTAATTAGGTACCGTAGTTTTGGTTTGTTCTTTTCCCTTGTAGCCATCAGCAGAGCTTTGGCTAGATGCCCCTTGTTATCTGCAGGAGACTGGTTGTAGGGTTCCCAAGACCAATGCTCAAGTCTTTTATATAAAATGGCCTAGTATTTCATGTAATCTATTCATATCATTTTATGTTTCAAATAATCTATACAGGCTGTAGAGATGGCTCAGTGTCGAAGAGCACTGGTCGCTCTTCCAGAGGTCCTGGGTTCAATTCCCATCAACATGATGGCTCCCAACTATCTGTAATGAGATCTGGTGCCCTCTTCTGGCCTGTCTGGATACATGCAGACAGAACTCTATATATAGTAAATAAATTATAATATCTAATATAATGGAAATAATTACTACAGTGTGTTCTTAAATTTGTGTTAGCTTTTACTTTATTTTTTCTAAACCCCTTGGCTTTTAAGCCTCCCAAGTGCTAGGACTATAGGTATATGCCACCATGCCTAGGTTTGTAATCAAATGTTCTCAAGACCGCACAGATGGCTGACTATACACACTCTGGTGACTTTGTGCAATGTCTGTCTACCATACAAGGGTTTCATTATGGGTAGGGCCTGTCTCCACTTTGCTCTCTGCTAGAGCCCCACAGATTACCACAAAAAATGGTACGGAGTGGAGTGGGTACCTGAATATTTGGTGAAAGTGAATGCACAAGAAAGTGACAGGACCCCGGACAACTGAGAGAACTTACCTTGTGTGGGAGTGGGAGAAATGGAAGGAGATACAAAAGGAAAAGGCAATCAACACACTTGATGACAGGTGGGGAGGAGATAATGCCTGACTAGCCAGACACGTGACCTGATTCAGAGGAAGTCAAAGACAACCAGCTTTCAAATGTGAGTCACTAATGGTTAGGTTTGTAGAGATAAATGTTGGTTTTAGATAGTGGTGGAGACCATAATGAGACATCTAAGGAGCCACGTGAATAGTGTTTGTGGTGTGTACCTATCGTCCCAGCATTAGGAGAGCAGAGACAAGAGGATTCCAAGTTTGAGGCCAGACTGGGATACGCAGTGAGACCCTGTCTTTAAAAACCAACAATAACAACAACAATGAAACAACTAACAAAAATAGTCACGTGGAGGAGATGCAACATCACATGGGTAGTTTTCAGACATGGCTGCTTTTCAGTAGATACACAAAAGCATCCCATAGTCATCAAGGAAGGTAAACAAAAGGCAAGATTCCATGTCCTTAAGTTTATTAAAGATGACCATGAACTGTTAGGATGTACATGAATTACAGCAGGTGAAAATCCAGTTCAAGACACAAATTGTACACAAACAGATCTTTTTATTTAGACTCTTGCTCCTTTTCTGTTAGTTCAGCCAAAGCTCTCAACCCTTGGCAGAGGGAGTTGATAGGAACCTCCTAAGTGCCGAGCTGTGGGCTCCCAGGCCTCTCGGTGCCTTGGAGCTAGTCTCCACCTCAGGAACAAATGCTTCCCTTTGTACAGAGAAAATGCCTCACTCCAGCCGCCTCCAGCAAGCTCTCTTCAGTGCATTCAGAATTCTCCACAGCAGGGATTCTCAGATACTGTCAAGTGACAAAGTGCTTTCATGACATCTCCTCTGTTCCCCACTCCCAAATAAATAAACACATGTATTTGGACATAATGACAGCACAGAATCAGGGGGCACTAAAAGACATGTGATCTAAAGGGACGGGTTGGGAGGTGGGGAACACTGAAACTTAGTGCCATGGCTGAGGCCAGCTTGAACCTGTGTTGACTGGGAGTGTGGGCGGTGGCAATCTCCTCAAGTGTGGTGACTTAGAGTGAGCTGGAAGTCAGCCACAAACTGGAAGTCCAGTCAGAGTCTGTATCCGAGGTCTGACTTGGTGACACTTGAGTTTAAAGGGGTCATTCCTACATCTCCTTGAAGGAAGGGGGATTTCTAACCAGCCCTTCAAAGTGGCCTTGGCCTCAGCTTTGGGTCTCACCTACAACTGAGAGAAGAGTCCTAGTCAACCGGTCCAATGCTGTTGTCAGCTCCCAAACGTGAGGCAGAGGAACCTCACCATGGGCCAGTTCTGACATGTTCTTCTTGCTCTGCCAGAGCTCAGTGTGGCTGTTACATCAGCGTCCCTTCTGTCTCTCGGGGAGACCCCTTGTTCCCTGCAGCTCAGAACCTGCCCGCTTCCACCAACCACTTGCAACTTTGGCTTCTTGGGGCAGTGCTCGGGCCAATTATTTCACTAGCAACCAAGTACAGGAAGACAGGTACACGGAAGAAGTCAGTTCTAGAACAAAAGCACTGTGGACATCAGTTCCCAGAACTGCCAGGATCTGAGATGCAGCCCTGACCAGTGCTTACAGAGGTTAGGCGCTGCAGCAAGTGTCTGGCTTAGTCTAGCAAACCCCATAAAATGCACATTAAGTGATGGGGAGGAGTCTATTAAAATCAGTACTATGAACAGATGATTTAACATACATTACTGAGGCTGAAGAGTTAAGTGCATAAACGGCATAAAGGCTCCTGTTACTCTGAGCAAACAAACATTCACAAACTGTCAAGTTCTCCAATGCTACTAAGTGGACAGGCTTCTCCCGACTGACAAAAGAACCTAAGGCAAGAGGTCAGCCAATGGGAGGCCCCCGCTCTGCTGGGGGAAGGGACGGAGAATGGAGTTGGGTCACACCTTTATGCAGAACCAGAGTGGTCACACAGTCATACAGAGCAGTAAGGGACCACTATTAAGATGGTGGGTGGGGTTTCTATCCTCGCCTTAGGCTGGCATGAGGGACTTGCCTGAGCTTGAAGTGCACCTGTGCTCAAGCTAGTTAACTAGAGACTGAACACCCAAGAGGCAGCCATTATCCTTTATCTGAATAAATGTTCCTCAGGCAACAGCTGCACCTTACTTATGTGTGCAGTGCTGGCTACAAATGGGCCTGGCCTAAGATTCAGTTCTGTTCTTTGCTTCAAGCCCATCAGAGTACACAAGCTGGCTTGTGTCCACCGATGCCTGGTATACTTGAAACAGGGAAGTCATGCTTGCCTCCTTGAGGTCTCTAAGGATTCTAGGATTAAGGATTGTGTTCTTACCCATCCCTCAGTGCCTACATAAGTTGTACAGAATGCCCACCGGGTAGCCCCATTCTCTTCCCAGCCTCAGGGCACAGTCTTGTTCTCTTTCGGGACTGTGACAGGAAAATCCCATTCCCATCTTAGCAGCCAAGCTGAAGGAAGACCACTGGCTGAGGAAGGCCTGGCTCAGAAGCTGGGGAACTAAGTCAAGAGTGGGAATGAGCCTTGAGCTGCAGCTGCAATCAGATCTGGTCCTCGAGGGACAGGCCAGGCATGTCAGAAGAACTGGGTCTCACTCGCTGTCCATTCCCCTGACAAGAGCCAGTCCAAGTGGCAGTTCTGATGGGAATACCCAATGCACACAGATACTGTCACAACAGGCTGGACCAATCAACCAATAAAGGTTGCCTACACCTGGACAGCAGACAAGTCATAAAAAAATGACAATATACTTTTTAAAAAGGCCCCATCACCTTCCTTGAAGGTGTGGTTCAGTTCTGTATCGTTTGACCGTAGCCAGTCCCTTTAGACAAAGGGTTAGGTCCTTTCCTCAGGTGGTCTCCAGGACAGTGGCCTCTAGAGCCAAGGCTTCCGTGGGCTCCTCCTCGTAGTCAGACAGGTAGGACTCCAGGCTCTGCTTGGCCAGCAACTCCCGCCGGGCCTGTAGCCGCTCACACCGGGGGCATCTTCCAGACTTGAAGCAAACTTTATGGTAACATGCTTTACACTCTAGTCAGGTTGAAAAGAGAGAGAAGAAAATGATTTGTATTATCAGGCTAGAAGCAAGTTATCACCTCAGCCACTCCTCCTCATAGCTCATGTTGTGGCGGTGGTGGAGTGTGGAGTTACTCACACCATACTCTGGCTAATAGAGAACTCTCAGGTAATACATTCACTTGGGGTCCAGTGTTGCTTGTTTCAAAGCTAGTATCTGTCCTCACCTTCACAGGTCCGGCACTTATGTAGCTCAAAAGGAAAGATGACATCATCCTCATTCTGGCAGAACTCACAGATGAAGCCCTTGGCTTGGCACAGCTATTGAGGAGAGTAGGTAGCAAAGTTAAGAGACTGGCCCAGAAGGGAGGACTCGGTAAGGTGGAGCAAACCATAAATATCACTTTGAGCAGGGTGAAGGGGTCTACTGTCTATGGTGTAGAGCCTAGGGCTGGACTTGTGAGCATGAGAGCCAGGCATCATCACATAAAACAAGAGAGACACAGGCTTGAGAAGCCCTTGCCACTGGAGCAGCTCTCAGTGTGAGAAGAGGGGCCTAAAGTCTGTAATCTAGTCTGGGCAGCGGTGTTATCTTGACCTATGCGCCATCTCTCCAGCCCTGAGGTGTTATCTTAAAACATTACCACTAGTAATTAAGATGAAAAGTAAAGTCAAGAGTGTTTCCCAAAATAATACCCTCTAGTCAGGTTCACACCCTTACCCCACCACAGGATCACAAAATGGGCAGCTGAGATGGGCAGACCTAAAAGCATCATTCCTGAATTTCTAGCACGTTGATCCTACCATGAACGCTAATAAGTTACATTTGTAAATAGGATTTACAAAAATGCTATCAAATAAGCTGTTTCATCAAACCTCAGAAGCTCAAGAGGAAAGAACAGTTCATCTAAGTATCACCTTCATTTCAGAAAGGAGAAAACTGAGGCTTACACAGCAAATTGTTTGCAACTGTGGTTGAAAACAAGTCTAGATTCTGGTCAAAGGTCTTCCTTCCTGAGTATGGCAATCCTTAAGTGAAGCGGCAACACCAGCACCAACTCCCGTCCTAATCCTTTTTGTGTTTTTGTTTTCTTGAGATGGGGTCTTGCTACAAAGCCCAGGCTGACTCTGAACTCCCAGTCCCCCTGCCTCAGCATCCCGGCACTTCCTCCTCTAAGTCCAGTCCTTCAGATGATCCTATTGCTCACTCACTCAGCCAACAGCAAGCCCTCTGGTTTATCTCTTAGTGTCAACTGGCCATATTAAGTTTCTGGAGCTAAATGTCAAGAACCCTGCCCCAGCACTAAGTTCCCAGCATGGGCTCAGCTGCATGGCAGACCACGGCCTCCTCACCATGCATCTCTCTACATGGGCAGCTCCTGCTCTGGTGAGCTCAGCCAGCCGGGGTCCCAGCTCCCCCTTCTTGGTCGCAGTCAGGTCGTTCAGTGAGTACAGGTGGAGATCCTCTGTCAGGTGGCCTGGAACTACGTCAAAGGAATCCAAAAGCCTACAGGAAATGAGAGGATGTGGGAAGGCTTGGAAATAAACATTTCATATGGCATGTAACAGTGCAAAAATCCCTACTCAGCAGGAGAGAAGCTCAGGGGGGTGGGTGACATCCAGCCAACCCAGGTATCCTGGCTACCCCAGCTTCCCCACACCAGGTACCTGGAGGACAGAAGTGTTTCATTTCCAAACCCTGTAGAGTGGGCTTGGGGAGTGGTGTCTGGCCCTGGACAGATAGTCCTCTTGAGAGAGGACACAGGTCTAATTACCGCCATGACTTCCCATTTACTACTTGAGACATTTCTGCAGACCCTTCCTCATGTAAAACAGAGCCAACTGTTGGGAAATGCTCCTCTCAGAGACAACAGGGCACCAGAGGACTGTGGCCTCCCGAGACTTACTCTTTGGCCAGTCGGCAGGTCTTAAACATGTTCTTCATGTGGTACAGCTGAACCCGCAGCAGCTGAAGACAAGACAGTGGGTGGAGGAGGAGAGGAGGAGCTGTTAGAATGGCCAGCAGCTGCCTTCAGACTTCCCAAGTAGTAGCCAGAGCTGGACTACCCTCACACCTCTCAGTCAACAACGTCAACTTCAACAACTCACTTCAAGTGATCTCTGGCCAGGGAAGGCCCTTCTGCCAGGTCAATCTGTTCATTCAGTCACACGGGCAGCCGCTGAGAACTCTGGGATTCAAATTCCCACGCCTGTTCTCAGTGAGTATAGACACTGTTTTCACTTTCAAGTGCTATCTACGGCCTTGTTCACTGCTGTGAGGCTTGAGACTGGTAGGACAGTCCCTGAGACTGTGGAAGTGTAGCTCAGCAGAGGGTAGTGCGTGGTAGAGGGCCTGCTAGCACTATGGGCATCATGCTGGGCCCCAAGCCCAGCACTGGACAACAGACCAACAAGAGAGTCTACAGAACATGAATGGTGACTGTGACCAGAAGCGTGGTGGCCTGAGGGAACTGCGCCAACAGGGACAGGAGCTAGGAGAGGAGAAGTATGAATCTGTGTGGTGGCTTGTTCAGGCATCTTACCCGGACTTGATTGAGCAGCTTGACCTTCCTGTAGAGGGCGCTATTGATGTCCTGCACATTGAAAAGAGGATCATTCCAGATCTTAATGAGCAGGTCCTTGGAGAAGTTGCTGATGGAGTACTTGCTGAAGTCCCACTTGCGCAGAATGCGGCTGGGGACGACCATCTGGGCGTTCTCGTGGCAGCACTGACAGAAATACTTGCCCAGGTACTCACAGTACCGCAGCCGCTTGATATAATCTAGGAAACACACATAACCAAAGGACAGATGTAACTTTTGCATCCAGAAGCTGGTGACCCTTCAAAAGGCAGGCAGGGAGGGCCAAGTGGCTTCTAGCCACTTCTCTGTGGATTTTCTAAAGCTGGAAAAATTCTGTTTATATAATGAGGTCTATGGCTCCAGCATCCCATCCTGGAGACCACCAAAGACTCCAAACCTTCCAGAGCTGATGAGACCTGCTCTCTAAGAACCTGGCTGCAGGGAGCCATTGTCCCCAGGAAGTGGTTCTGGGGTAATGTTCCCTGAGGTAATTCCCCACAACACCAGCTCCTGCCTAGGCCTCCCCTCCTACTCCAGGACTCATATCTGCTCTGTCACCTCCTCGAAGGTCACCTCCGACAGGCATGGGAGAGGACAAAGCTTTACCAGGGTCAGTCCGGATGCCACAGCCTGCACAGCGGTAATTCTGCTTGGCCACAGCAATCTTCCTCCTACAGAAAGGTGAAGGAGTGGGATTAGCAAGGCAGCGACACAGGGTGCAGACGTATAAAGGGTGAAGTGCAGACTCTCGTTAAGGACGGAGAGCTGAGAACTCACCAATTTCCTTTTAGAGTTGCACAAAGCTCATTTCTACTGGGAGAACTAATGCAAAGTGAGGCTCTATCAGGTTAGAATTTACAGGATTGGGCCACTGCAGTGACTAAGCGATTGGCCTCAACATGAACCATGTTTTTGTATAAATGCAGGGGATGAGGAACAGTAACCCAGAAAGAACAATGGGAGAGAGAAGCATGTATCTTAAAAAGAGAAAAAAATCCTAGTAAGCCCACAAAGTATGGGGAGAAAGGCAATAGTTTGGAAATGCTGATTTAAAAGACCAGGGTGGGGGGGAGGGGTACAGTTAGGTATGGGAAAGAATTGAAGGACTAAAAGAATTTAAGAACAAAAATAAAATGAAGAATCCTCTTTCTATGCTTTTAAATACACAGAACTGTGTGGGAAGTACAACCAGAGGTGGAAATAAGAGGTAAGATGATAGTTTTTATAATGCAAGGAGGATGAATCCTTCTGCCAAAGATCATAGCCACTGGCTACTCACGTCGGGGCTGGATGAACATTAAAAATGATCTGAGGCCGGGGTGGAGCCCATTCCAGGTTGCCACGGACACGGATACGCAGCTTGTAGATGTCTGCATGCTGCCCGTCATCTGGTGAGATGGGCAGTGAGTCGGGGATAGGCAGGAGCTGCAGGAGAAAAGTGTGTGTGAGCTGACCTGGACAATCTAGGGGACACATATGTTTATCCCTCTGGCCATGACAGAAGCAGAGCAATGAAACATATTTCATAATTACCACAGGCTGAGCCTTCAAGAACCCTGATTTAAAAACAAACTTGTAGGTGCCATGCTACTAGAAGCAAGGCCCTTGAGTTCCAAGAAGCAAATAGAAACATGATTTGTAGGGTGCTGTCACCCATCGCTGATGCTGCCTCTATGCTTCCCAGGGCCTTTACTGTGCCAGCATGCCTTAAAAGATTCAACTACAGAGCCAAGAAGAGTCTCAACAACTCGCTTTCACACAGTGTCGTAAAGTTAGCCACTTGGAAGAGGACAGTGAAGGAGCCAGAGGCTGCTAGGGAAAACCTAGGCAAGCAAGCATTCACTCATTCACTCACTCGCTCAACACACTTTAACCAAGAGTGCCCATGAGTAAGGATGGACGCACAGGCTCACTCCAGACTGGGGCCATGTGAGAAAGGAACACAGGATCAGAAGGCACACAGGCTACTGGCAGGGAAGCGTGGAAGAGCCTACCTTCTGCGGGGCATCGTGCTCTGGAACTAGCCACTCTAGCTCTGAGGCAGCTGGAAGCTGCATGCCCTCGAACTGCTTCAGAAGCCCCATGGCCACTGCCTCAGCGGATGTGGAGTGCAGGAAGCAATGGGAGCTGGGAAGGAGAGAATCAAGGAGGGTTGAGCGCATGAAGTCAGGAAGACGGGAGCTTCCTTTCAGGACCTGAGACCATATGCCTCAACCTTACAGCTGAGGGAACACTAGCTGCACCCACAGTCAGTTCTGTTTCTTTACTCAATGCCAGACACACATGCTATGAAAAAAAATACTGCTGTTCTTAATTGTCCTAAGTCTATATACAAATCCCTATCTCACCTATGAGCACTGAATGGTACTGCGTTTAAGAGTTCTGTATTTTCCTTTCTCTAAGGTTCAGTTCCTTTCACTGCAAAGTGGACACTATAAAAGATATCAGTAAAACTGCTACTGCACCTCTCAGAGATGAGGTCTTTCTCCCCTTGAATGGCCACTACCAGTCAGGGCCATCACTCCAACCTTGCCTCTTCTTGAAATGGGATGGTTTTGTCTGCCACCTTTCTCAAGCACGGGCCACGATCTGGGTGTGTCTGCCAACGTATCCCAAGGTTATTAAAATGAATGAAATACTCACAAGTTCTGGGAGATGGATGATTTGCCATTTGAGACTGTACTCCTCCTGATGTCAGCATCTGCATGGAAACCATTGATAAGGGGAGCAGGAAACAGGAAAGGAAGAGAAGCTAGGGAACCGTCATAGGGTGTTGCAGCTAAGCACTAAGGTGGCAGCTAGGAGCTACATTCTATGCAGGGTACAGAGACAGGTGGAGCTCTACACGCTACTTACTCCATCTCCATCCACATCACAACCAGGTTAATTAGTGACATCATGCAGAGCATTGAGAACGTCAAAGTGGTTACAAATCGAGGGGAAAACACGAATTCAGGCTTGGTGTAAAACAGTGAGTGAGAAAGAGATCTGCAGGCACACAGGGACTCACCACAGGCACACGGAGACACATTACAGGCACATGGGGACACATTACAGGCACACAGGGACACACTCACTACAGGCACACGGGGACACACTCACTACAGGCACATGGAGACACACTCACTACAGGCACATGGGGACACACTCACTACAGGCACAAATACAATGATGACAACATCTCCCGTTTGAATGAATCTCAAGCTTTCTTAAATGATATCCTCCCAGAACTGGTGTGGTAGGTAGCTTGTGCCTGTAATTCCAGCACTGGAGATGTGAGGTAGGAGAATAAGGTATGGAGAGCACTAAAGGTAAGGGCTCTGTCTGGCTTTTTTAATGGAAGAAATATCACCCAACACAAAACTCAGATCATGCAGGTTACCCACTAAATGTCTGTGGAACTGGAAGTTTTTGTCTAACTGCTCATCATTACCCCCGAATGTTAGATGCTTTCTCCATCTTTAAAATAAAGTTTCGCAGGAAGATTTTAGTCCTGTCTAGTGGCTCAGGGAAGAAAAGAACTTCTCCACAGCTTCATAGCCAACTTTCCACAGGACCTGTCAACATGATCATTGCTATAGAAATCTCCAAGCATAACTGCATAAAAATGAGACTTTCCTAAGCACAGTTCTAAAGACAGGCCTGAGCCCCCAGAGACCTCATTGGCCAAATGCTACTGAAGTCATAGTCTAGGAAGCTAGCTAGGTCCTAACCAAGTCATGGAAAGGCTATTCTGATCATCTCATTTCTTATTTCCTTTGGTGCCCATCGAGAGGACCATTTTTCCCTCATTAATCCCGACAATGACCAATCTCCTGTGTCCGAGGCTCTTGGCAAAGCATTAGGCTTACATGACATAACTCTGCACTTGGCCACCAGTAGCTCAATTGTGCCTCATGCTTTAAATGCACACAGATCCTTTTGTTTGTACAACAGCATTACAAAATGTCTCTGTGAGGAAATGCAATTATGTCTAATTCACTGGGCTTTACAACATGTAATACCTAGTTCTGGATACAAGTATAACTCCAACAATATTGCTCACAAACTAAGCTTCAAAGCTTCATGCAGCTTTCATATGCTATTTGTCTGGGGCAGTGCTGGAGACAAACCCAGAGCCTGACTATGACAGGCAAGCACATCCCAGCCCTAATTTGCTTTTAAAGCATATAAAAAACAAGACATCAACCTATTTATTTATTTTTGCTAGTAATTCCAAAAAGACCACTTTATTTAACAAAAGGTGCTCATTTCTGTCATATTTGAGTCACCCAAATCCTAGAGAGTCCAAAGCAGTGCTGGTTGCCTGGTCTACTGCCACTAGTGTTGGTGGGAAGGGGATTTGGGGATGATAAATACTGCTAGGATTGAACACAAATCTTGTCTTGTCAAATAGCACTCATGATGTTCTCTATATAAAGGATTTTCAGAGCGTAGTTCCAGAATGAGTAACTGGCTAAAGCAATTAAAATTTTTGCAAATTTCATCCTACTTGGGAATGATACAGAAAAAATGGAAACAAAACCCTAAACAGGCATCGTTGAATAAGCAAATAACCTATTTCGACACCAGAGGGCCAGGCTATAAAAGAAAGTGTTGCACACTACAGAGGAGGTAATTGATAGCAGTTGCTAAGGAAACCATTATTTCCACAAAGCTACAACCATGCATAACACATAACGGTGTTTCTGCCAATGGTGGCCCAATGTGTACGACAGAGGTTCCCTGAGAACTTATCACCTTAGGATAGAATCTCAGACACAGTAGCCTTCTCAGTCTGCATAAGTAAATTCCATGATCTATGATAGTTACACAAAATCACCTAGGGATACAGTTCTCAGAATGTAACTCTGTATTTAAGAAAAGCATTTCATCTTCAAATAAGGAAGTCTTTTTTCCCCTTTATTCTCTTTTCTTTGGAACCTATAATCAAGCTAGACTTATCCTGTTTATTGTTCTTTTTCATCAGATACATAAAAAGGTCAGAGGAGGTATGTGGCACATGGTTTTTAGCTAATCATGAATACTGCACAAGTGTGGAAGACCACACTGTCTTGGGGTGAGGATCCTACCCCCAGAGCAGAGGATTGAGGCAGCCCAATATCAAAGTGGATACGGGACCCGACATCCATCTGATACCTTGGCTTTACTGTGCCTGTGGGGCATCCTGCTGACTCTAGTTAGTTCAAGCAGATGACTAAGTTGCTGTGGGTGGACCACAATGAGACAACCACACCAAGGCCTAAGACAGTTAAGGAAAGAATTCTGTAGAGAACAGAAAGAAGCCTGTACCTTCCTAGTGAAGTTTAGGATACTTAGAAGATGTCTTCTTAATCTTTTGAACAAAAACAAATATATTTTTAAAACAAATATATTTTTCCAAGAGAACTGCTCATAACTAATGCAGGAGCTCTTGATGGAAGGAGGACGTCTCTCTAAAACCAGATTATGCTGAAGGCTGCACTACTCAGGAAATTTGTCAAATATCACTGAGTTGTATACTTGTAGTGGTTGAATTACCAGTGAATCATTTTCTATTCTTTCACTTTCAGTATCTCTGTGTGTATTTGTCAGTGAGTCTTGCTCTTACCAACAAACAGCTGGATCTTGTTTTTAATCCCACTAGCTAGCCTGCATCTCAGAATTGGAGAGCTGATCATTTACCTTCAGTTATATACAGTAGCAATGAGGGCTACTTGCTGATTTCTGTGATCTTGTTGACTGTTTACCTGGGTAGTTCAAATGCTGTTTGTTCTTTTCTTTTTCCCCTTTATGTATTAGGGGCTTGCTGAGCAGGATCCCTTCACATGGCTTCTGTACTGCTGCCTTGGTGGTCATCTGCTGTTTTAGTTTGTGCTTTTCCTTCAAGTTTCCTTTTTTTCTCTAAGAATTTTTTCTTTGGTGTGTGTGTGTGTGTGTGTGTGTGTGTGTGTGTGTGTTGTGTGTGATGCATGTCCACACATGTGAGGTATGTGTGCACACACATGTGGAGGACCCAAGATGATGTTGGGTGTCTCCCCCAATCTCTCTCCACTTTATTTACTGGGTAGAATCTCTTGCTAACCCCAGAGCTGGCTATTGACAATCTAGTCTCTGCCTCCCATTACGCCTCCCTGGATTTACATGGGTTTTGAGGATCTAAACTCTGGTCCTGATCTGTGAATTTTAAATAACGTCTCTGGATATGGGAATCTTGGCTGCAGCTGCTTACACTGGACTTGGAATACTTTTAGACTATCTATTGATGGTCTGGTGTCATCAGCTGCCTTTGTAAACAATCTGAATAAGTTTTCTATTCCTCTAGCTTATTTATTTAGGGAGACTGTGTGTACTCACTCGTGAGTGCAACAGTACGTGGATGGAGACTGAGAACAACTTGCAGGACTTAGTCATCTCCTTTCATCATGTGAGTTCTGGGGCTAAAAGTCAAGTTTTCAGGCTTGGCAGTAAGTCCCTTCAGCCAACTGAGCCACCGCACTGGCCTCAAGTGTGCTAAACTTTTAAGGCTCCCAAGACTGGGGACAAAGGATTCTAAGAAAACCAAGTAACAGTGCCTTATGATATGCTCTGATGGAGAAGACAGTTCAAAGTAGAGCAAAGAGAAACTCGTTACTTTATTACATTTCTCTAAATCTTGGTCTAACCTTATATAATTATTTCGAATTCCAATGGGTCACAGTATTAGGCGTAATAAACAGCTCCATTAGTATTACTAAAAGTTCAAACTATGAAACTAAAAATTTGTAACTGAAATTCCAAGTTTTTGTTTTCAATTTTTTTGAGTAGAAAACTTTTATTCTCTTTCAGTTAATCCTACCGACTATTTTCCTGGATGTCAAACCTTATAGCAATAACTCTTAATTGTGTATGAAGTTATCTAGGAGATATTACTTTCTGGGAGTTTGACTTGAAAATTCAAAACTCTAAAGAGACTCTTATCTTAGCCTCATGACTTTCTGTCCTACTGTCTGCGGGTATCCTGGAGCTATAGGTTTGAAATTAAATTTGCCTGTAGAATGCCAGAAGAGGGTATCAGATCTCCTGATGCTGGAGTTACAGATGGCTGTGGGCTGCCCGGTCGGTATCCATGCTGGGAACTGAGTTCCAGTCCTCTGGAAGAGCAGCAACCACTCTTAACTGCCGAGTCTTCATCTAGGACCTGAACCTAAATTCTTTTTTTATTTTTCTCTGACACAGGTCTTTCTATGTAGACCATCTGGCCTCAAACTCACAGGAATCCACCTGCCAAGTGCAGGAATTCTTTTTCAAATTTGGTTTTGTTATTTTTTAAATTATGTGGTGTGTGTGTGTAAGAACCCACAGAGGCCAGAGGCATTGGTGCCCCTGGAGTTGGGGTTACAGGTGGTTGTGAAGCACCTGATAAGGGTTCTAGTAACTGATTCTGGGTCCTCTGGAAGAGAAGTCAGTGTTCTTAACTGATGAGCCATTTCTCCAGCCCCTGAACTTAAATTCTTAATTTGAGCATTTCTTTTTTAATATAACATTTATTATAAACAACAATAACAACAACAGAAACCCAACTTGCAAATAAACAGAGTATGGTGGCACAGGTCTTTAATCCCAACACTTGGGAGGCAGAGGCAGGCGGATCTCTGTGAGTCAAGGCCAGCCTGGTCTATAAATCTAGTCCAGGACAGCTAGAACTGTTACACAGAGAAACCCTGTCTCAAAAAAACCAAAGACTAAAAACAAAAGCAAAATAAAACAGAATAAAACCCCCAAACAAAAAAGCAAGCAACCAAAAAAAAAAAAAAAAAAAAAAAAATTAAAAAAAAAAAAAAAAAACATCAAACACTAAAATTAATCAGATCCAAAGTCTACATAACTTAGTGAATTTCTATAGTTAGCAGGCATTCCAAAAGGAAGCCGAGGAGCTCCACATTAAATTTTACTCAGTATGAAATACTTTATGCTCTTGTCCACCACCAATACCAAAAAAAACCCCAAGACAGAAAGAACTGTTTTCTGGTTTTGACTATTCCTTTCTAAACTTTGACCCCATCAGTCATATGACTACCTAATCTAATCTCATCTCTGTGAGGGGAGATGGAAAACACTGCTTGAGTCCTATGTAAAAAGACATCTGACTATCTGAATTGCCCCTGCATTGTCTAATGTTTTCCAGTTAGTTCTCGAGTTCATGTAGTTCTCATGACCTTGACAAGTATCACATGTACAAAAGCTGGTGCAAACAGTCACACACATGCATGAAGAAGCACACCCACGCTTCCAGCACGGCTACCTGAGAACATGGAGGCCACTGAAACTGAGAGTCCACTCTTTGACATGTGAGTCAGGTTAGAGCCTTCACTACCATCTGTGTAATAATAATTATAAAGAGGGCCCTTTAGAAAGAAAGTTGCTGAGACTGACAGTTCCACACCACAAGTCCTCAGGATCAGGCTGTGACTTCTGTGCAGCTTTTAGGAATCCACAAGCACGGGTAGGCTTGGAAAACAGTTACCACTACTTCCCCAAACCAGTCCAGCCTCCAGCACCTCCTAAGAAGCATCTGAGGGTGATGTTAGGAATACCTGGTCGTTATGACTACAGCTAAGAGTGATGTTAGGAATACCTGGTCGTTACGACTACTGCGGATGGAGTGGGGCACTACGGAGTTCAAGAGGCCAGAGATGATGGCAAGCATCTCAATCTTCAAGTAGACCCTCACTACAAAGAATGACAGGGCCTATGGTGTCTCCTTCAAGGGTTTCTATTCTGAACCAACAGGGAATTAGCTGACTACACACCCTTGAGGCCCATAACTGAAGCAACGGTTTCAAACAGGAGTGCACTTTGTGAGAATTATGGTTAGAAAAAAACATATACAAACTAAGGGGGTCAGGGGGAGAAGGAGTTTTAAGTTACTGTTATTGTCATGAAATCAAATACATTCGGAAGAACCAAAAGCAAAGTTCCTTGAGGCCTGTAAAAGTTATGTAAAATCTGAATTTCTGAGTGGGAAAGCTCCTCAGGAGGCCCCTGAAGACTAAAATAGTAAAAATATCTATTCATTATCATTTTACAGTATGATAACCGAGTGTGTGCAGACAATTCAGCTCTATTAGGAAATGGCTCTTAGTTCTACCATGTGAAAAGTTTCTCCACCTCAACTGTTTTGTCTCTTTGCTGGGCCCTGAAGACCTCTATAGTTTGCAGTATAGGACTGCTGTGAAGCATATGACTCAAGCATGATGTGGCCACTGCCACCTTGGAATCAGGGCAGCTGATCTCTGGTTAGACTCAACGAGACCTTCCCAAGATCAAATCTACTGACATTCATTCATACATACTGGGATGGAAGATTGTCAGACCCTTGCCTGATAGTTCAGCCACTCAATCCCCGGCTTCGAGCAATGCTTGTGCCAGCTGATGTGGGCTCAGGGAGGTGCTAGACTATATAGGAGGTGGAAGATAAGCTGAAGACGGGACTCCAGCTATGCAGCTCTTGGGAGGCTGTCACTCATGCTGGTGTGGTTTCACTATTATTATTATTATTATTATTGTTGTTGTTGTTGATGCAGCCTGTAAGTAAACCAATAAAGTCCCTGACTCACCAGGTTGGACTTGAGACTGTTTCTTTGGTCTGCTGTCAGATCCCCCTCTGAGGTGACTAGTGATGCAAAAGGAACATTAGCTTGCTTTACTACAAACCCTTCCCAGATGGCAGCCTCTCCCCTCACTGCACTGATACTTCTAACAAGATTCTGGGGCTCTGCCTCAAGACTGATAAAACAGACATTAAAGCTCTACTTTTTTTTTTTTTTTTTTTTTTTTTTTTTTTTTGGAGGTCTTGAACTCAGAGAGATCCGCCTGCCTCTGCCTCCCGAATGCTGGGATTAAAGGCGTGGGCCACCAACACCTGGCTAAAGCTCTACTTTGTAACCCTGACTTTTTCTCCTTTTTTTTTTCTTCTCTTTTAATGATTCATCTTCCCTTCCGCCCCCCAAATTACTACAAAACTCCTTTTGGAACAATTTCAATTGTGTTATGTATGGAACACAGGGAAACATTCTAATTCATGTGGTTTGGCTCAGCCCAAAGAGCTAGAAGGAGGAAAGAGAGCGAGGACCCAAGAGAAAGATAAACACGTGAGGACTGAAAGTCAGGGCAACTTCAACAGCCAATTACCCTCTTCCCTTTCAAGGCTTGTGTCTGCATGGATTTTAATGGGGTTCTGTTTTTACCAAGAGCAGCCATCCCTTACAATAACTAACAATGTTCCATAGTAAGTCACAGTAAAGATCTACTTTGGGGGTCACTCAGCCTAATATTCCGAACTAAAAGAAACAAGTAATGAATGCTCCCTTGAAAACAGATGGGCAATTCTTACCTTGGATTTCAAACTCATCAACATCATCAGCAGAGCCAGAATCCGAGAACTGTGTAGAGTCACGTGAGCTAAACTGGGAGCTGCTGGAGGTGACCCGGAAGCCTGTGATAGTAAAGATTAGCATCATCACCTGTCTCCACACCTAATAAAGAGCCTATACTCTAACAGAGGAAAGCGAATAGACCCAGGGCTGGGGTTGAAGCTGTAAAGTGGAACTGGTACTTCTTGCTGGTTCGTTCTACTTTGGAGAAATCCATCTGTGACACTTGGCCTTAGTTCTTTCTTGGAAACCCATTTCGGAATAGCACTGTTTCTGATGTAGGAAACATGAGCTCTAACAGTATTCCTAGTCTCGCATGGGAAAAACAAAAACAAAACCAGTGCACCATGGTACTTCCTTCTGTCAGCAGAGGAACCCTTAGCTTAGACATAACACCACACACAAAAACCAAGATGAAAGCCCACGACTCTGAGTTTTGTGATGCCGTAAAGAGGCACACATACAGGTGTTCACAGGCCTCACTTACTTCCATGCTCAGTCTCCTGGTATGCGGGGAGCAGGTTTTTGGTGCGGATCTGCTGGCGCCGAAGGCGGATCTTCTGCTTCAGTTCCTGGATCTCCCTGTCACTGTCTTCCTCCTCCACTTCCTCCTCCTCTAGACATTGGCTCATCATATTGCATTTCATCAGCTCAATGGCAGCAATCAAGGACTCTGAGATGCTGAAGTGGGCATTCTCCTGAAGGAAGAAGGGCACCCAGGAAGTCGCTTGTTAAGGGACTGGAAGCATTGAACACCTTAATGTGGGGAAGCAGAGCTCCCAAGACATATGATTTTCTCAAAGGAGACACGAGGGAAATGCACTTGTCTGCTGTTAGGAGAGCAGACAGGCAGACAGCCTGTTCTAGAGTCTCTCTGCTCTTTTATCTGGCCATGGCTGTTTGTTTCCTCATCTGTTCCATTTTCTATGTAAAAATGGGAAGAGAATCTCAGCTGGTCAGCCCAAGATCTCCTTAGTCCCCTGCACTGCTCCATTTCCACTCAATACAATGAAAGAAACTATGATTAAAAAAAAAAAGTCATCAAACTGCAAGCACAGGGCACAATGTTTGAAGAAAGATGTGGTTCATAGACCACTCGCAGCAGATGACAAAAGAGCATTAGTTCCTTACAGAGGATAGGCATAAAATGGCATCCCTGATACTGGAGTGAGTATTCACACACCAAGGAACCACCTTCACAGACCCGTTGATGTCTGGCAGCAAACATTCCATTACAGGCCACTGAGAAAATGCAGCTGACAGCACTGTACTGCTGTGGCACTCAGACCTGCTGCACGTGGCCTGACTATCTGAAGCTCTGCCCAGTGTGTGGACGGAAACACCACTTGCTCTGGAGATGATGAGACACTTGCGGATATCCTAGAAAATTCTGATTATGTGGTTTCTTCTTCTTCTTCTTTTTATTTTTTTTACGTGGCTTCTAAGAATGAAACAAACTGAACTAAATTTGAAGATAAAACTTGAAGATTTATCAGCTGCTGTTTTCTCTATGACTGCTTTTAAAAACTACTCAGGCCAGCTATGATGTCCCACACCTGGAATCTCCCAGACAGAAAGATACACAACACAAAACGTGGGCGCTGGGAGAGCCATAATCTGAGCTCCCAGAGGGCAGACACAGGAGAATCCTAAGGTTTGAGGAGGCTAGCCTGCCTCAAAAACAACAACAAAATGTTTATAGTCTGGATCAATTTTAGGTGTCTAATATTTTTAAGCCCATTGGACATGGCAGTTCTTTTCAGATGTTGCTGATATATAAGTCACTCTTTGCCACTAATTAAGCTGATGAAACCAGGCACTCATGATTGAAACAAGGGCTAATGAATAGAGAGAATGTGTTGACACCTTGTTTGTACAAATAAAGCTTGCATGAAGATCAGGGGCAGACCTAGTCACTAGCTAACCATAGAGGTCTGGAGGTCTGTACAGACAGACAGGAAGTGAGATGGGTGGGTGGAGAGAGGAATATAGGCAGGATGAGACAGGAACTCATTATCTTTTCAGTCTGAGGATTTCATAGAGCTAAAAGTTCTAGTGTCTGGCTGCTCTGCTTCTCCGATCTTCAGCTGTCACCCCCTTATTTCTGACTCTGGGTTTTTATTATTAAGACCTACTAGAACTCATGTTACAAGAGAACATGCCAGGAGTTCCAAACAGACTCTTTTCCCAGAGTCATACACCCATATACATAGTAGTAAGGTAGATACATCCCAAGATAAGAGACTAGTATACAGATGATATTTACATATAGTTGAGCCAAGGAATAAATAGAATTTGATTCTGGAATAAGTATTTATGTGAGGACACAGGGTCAAAGAACAATAATCACATGGTTAAAGCTCAATGTTTCTGCACTGGACCAATGACAAGCACAGGCTCCTTTCCAAGTTCCCTAGACAGAGCCCTCTGAGCTTGACTGCAGTTCATAGGTACTGCGTGTACTCAAAACCTCATTAAAACGATGGCAGCAGAGACCATCAAGCCAGATCCCCCGATGCACTAGCTTCTCATCTGCCCCTTTGGTGCCCTTACCTTTTCCAGGTCTGCACAACTGCCAAAGTCTTGCTCAGAGAGGTAACTGATGAGGGACTGCCCTTCTGATGGTCTTCGAAACATGCTTTCCCCTGAGCACAGGTCCTGAGCACCCTCTGTGGAAAATGGAGTGGGTGTAAAATGTCTGACCTGAGATGAAAACCAGTACCAGCCATGCTCCTTCAAGAAGTCTGAGGATGTTACTACTAAAGGTGCTCTCAAGTGTTCCTAGGTAATGGGGATCAGAAACTGGAAAGACATCTGTCTGTCTTCTAATGGCATTACTTAGACTCTTAAGAGTACCAGAGCACCAAACCTCTTGGATGGAGAATGAAAGAATTGACAGCCCAGAGACAGTCTTTACCATCTAAAGTTATAGGTAACAGACTATCCTTCCTAGTCCACTAAAAAGGAAAAGGGGATTAGATTAACTCAGTGTGAGCATTGGGAAAGGACACGAATACTTCCACCTGTGAACAGTTCCCATGTGGAACTTGTCTTCTGGGAACGGCACAAAGACCCACTGTCAAGGCTCTCGCTCTTTCAGTCCACGTCACATACAGTACAACAGACACACATGGTAGCACCCAGAGGATAAAAGAGGGGGACCCCTAAGTCAGTGAGGACAAGGCAAGTGGACTCTTAGTGTTGAAGATGACAGAAGGGCAGGTGAGGGCACACAGTGTCCTCCACAGAGTGAGCTGAGCCCCACACTGAGAGCCCAGCAGGCACAAGGAGAGAGCGGAGCGAGACAATTTTAGCCCTTGCTTTCCTGGTGCTCACGCACCATTCTCCATGCACAGGGAGCTGGGGGTGCTTGCTGACTGCACTGCTCTGACTAGAGGAGGGGAAGGGGCCTCTGGAATTCAATGTGTCATTGCAAGAGTCTTGTGTCAGTGACCAAACCAGGAAATAAAAACACACATACAAGCAAACAACAGATACATTCCCAACCCTTAAATTTAGCATTTAATTCTCTCATTTCCAAAGCCTTCCCAAACAGGCAAAAGGTGGCACACCAAAGGCAAAGAGTCCAAGGGTACAGAACACATGGAGAAGATGGGATGTCTGTGTGTCTAAAGGGCAGCTCAAAGGTGAAAAAAATAAAAAAGGGTTTTAGTTTCTTTTTCTTCCATCTTCTAACTAAATGTTACAAAAGCATTAACTAATCACTGGTTTTTTTGTTTGTTTGCTTGCTTGCTTGTTTCTTTGAGACATGGTTTCTCTATGTAACAGCCCTGACTGTCCTAGAACTCTCTATGTAGACCAGGCTGGCCTTGAACTCAGAAATCTGCCTGCCTCTGCCTCTCAAGCGCTGGGATTAAAAGTATGTGCTGCTACCACTGCCCAGCTTTAATTACTAATTCTTGACAAACTAGTTTAAAAAATAGTTTTTAGATGGTAAAATAAAAATAATTACAATGAGCTTTTTCTAATATCTTGACACTATGTTTTAAAACACTATTGGAGAACTTACATTCACTAATGAAAATGAAACTCAGAAAAGTGCTTAAAAGCAACATCAAGTCAATTCTGGAGAAGCCAAAGGTGATGACTTCAAAACAGGAGGATTTAGTCACCAGAGAAGAGACTTCCAGAGAATGCTGATGCTGAGCATGGTGACACATGCCTGTAATCCTAGACTTGGAAAGTCAGGGGACAAGGATCACAGTGAGTTTTGGGGCCAGGACCAGTTACATAGTGAATTCAAGTCCAGTCTGGCCCACACAGCAAAATCTGGTCTCAAAAACAAAGAGGACAGGAAGATTGGCAAAGGGGTCATAAGATATTAGAAACTGATATTCAAAAGTAAATAAACAATGTGCAGTGCCATAGTAAGAAAAGCAGTAGATGCCTGAGACATGAGCAGTATGCACTGGAAGATAGATGCCTGAGCCATATCCAACTGTTTGCCCAGCAAATAATGCCAAGTGTCAGCTGCTATGCACACGCACACGCGCACACACACACAGTAATTTTGTGTTCTTGTAGCCCTAGAAGTAGGCTCTGCTCTGTCTACGGAGCTAAGAAAAAGCCAAAAACCACCACGATACCTTGATGAGAAACAATGGAAGAGACTTTCAATGCCTAGCCAGACGGCACACCGCATAACCGTGTTCTTGGACTACATAAGCCGCTGGGCTTTGTACTGAGGTCACCGACCCCTAAGGCTGCCCAATCAACTGATTCAGCACTTCCTTTCACTCACTCAAAATCTGCTTTCTCTCAGCTTTTTGTCTCCTTCAGCTTCTGCAGATTTTCTTCTTTTCTGTGACTTCCCCAATACTAGGAAGTTGTGGTCTCTAGTCTTCCCTCACCATTGCTTTACAAACACATACCCACACATTAATAACTCCATCATTACAGTACTCAAACTAGAACACAAATCTCAGTTCGAAAACCACCATGAGGGAAAAACAAAAAGAACAAAAACACAGATTTACTAAAAAGAAAAAAAAAAGGCTCAATGACCAGTATGGAATTTATAAGTGCACAAGGGAATGAAGACTGGTGAAGGGAAAAGGAAACAGGGACTCTTGGACAGGCAAAAATCATGCAAGTAATACATCCATGACCACATACAAGGAATAAAACACATTCTGGTGTTAAGTCAAGGAAAATAAAGTCATCTACAGTGAGTCTTCAGGTAAGGAACATCCTGCCACCGAGCCATCATGAGGCCTTAGATGAACAGCAGGCCTCAGTTTCATCCTTGGGCAGAGCAGAATTGCTTTATCGTGACTATGGCTTCCAGAAGCTGTGTAGGGCATGAGTAGGGCATGCAGAAGCATGTTTGGCACAACATGTATCCTAATGCCGACGGGTCCCAGCACCACGAAAGGATCAAAACTAGCCAGACTTGATTTGACACCAGACTGGAAAAGGAGGTTTTCAACTAAGCAAGGTGGCCACAGAGGAACAGAAGGAAGAGGTGGGGGACTGGCTCCCAAACCTGCAATGGGCTCTTCAACTATAATGGTGATATTCCTGGGGCCTCCTGCAGATAAACACAGGTACAGAAGAGAATCCAGACAGAACAAACAAGATTAGAGAAAGAGAAAGGGGGAAAAAAAACCAACCCAGTGACTTTTACCTGGCAGAAGTGGTGACATTAATTCCCAAGAGGGAACACCGGGGCTGCAGGAGGGGTGACTTGGACAAGAGGCTACAAGACCCATGCTCAGACCTTCTGCACAGGTCTTCTCTGGCTCCCTTTTCCCATGCAGGTTACCATGGTTTCTGGAATCCACACAGATTCAAGAATGGAGCCAGGGAGGCTGGGAATGTCGCTCTGTAGAGCTCTTCCCAGCATGAATAAGGCCCTGGGTTCAATCCCTAGGCCACTTTTAAAAATAGAGTGGGATATAGGGAGTGGGGGAATTGTTATATGCTCAGAGGCTAGTGCCCTCGTGGAGAGCAGGCGCCAGGACTGCAGCAGATGGGAGAGAGGGTCTAACCCCAACACTCTTTCCATGTGGGGAAGTTCATGGAAAGGGGCTCTGGCCCGGAGACTTTTCTCCAAAGGAGTTCAAGTAGTCGTGTTAAATTGTTGAAGGAAAACATAAATGAAAGTCTGATATCCAGGGTTTAGTTGAGGCCTTAAGTTTTCATCTTTCTGGAAATTACAGAGACACAAGGGCAGCTCCAGTTGCCAAAGGAAATCTGCTTTATTTTCTCTCATTAAATATTTCCTACTTTATTTTTGTATTTTGTATCTGGGTTTTTCTGACCCATCAAAGCTTTGAGCACAAAAATTAGTGTTATATTGCAGAGGATACCCAAGCAAAGCCTAGAGACACCAGCTGCCCAGGGAAGGTGGTGGCAATATGACGCAGAAGCAAGGAGACTCACTTTCCTCACATCTGGTTTGCTCCCCATCACCAGCTGGCATTCTGTGAGGGAGGGTACAGGGCGGATGGCCCTTATCTGAGGGCCTCAGTCTGAGTTAATGGCAGCAGTCACCCCATCTACTTGGCCCAGGGTCACATGGCCCATCCATACTCACCACTATCCCTATTATAACTAGGAAACCCTAATAGTGTCTGCTTCGTCTTACATCCTGACCTAACTTTTAAGGAATCACAACTGAAGGATCACTAATCACTAACAGTGATTTGTAAACCTTTTTAATACTTTGCTGAAGCCAGAGAGATTTAGTTAAAACATAATCTGTGATACTCATTCTATCCCAATGCTAAGGAACTATGGAAGAATCAGGGAAGCATTTAGTATTCATGATAGAGTAACAAGTCATCCAGAAACCGTTCTTCTCTCTCTGCCATGTGAAAAGCCCCTGAAGCTCAGGAGCAAGCCCTCCCTCCAGCCCTGAATTTGGGGGGACGATACACCCTTCTAACCAGTAGCTGGTGCTCATCATTACCTGTGGCTCCTTTGGAGGCAATGTTGGTGTCCGAATGGGAGCGAATATGGCTCTTCTTTGTCCCGCTGGCAACAAGGACTGTCTGCCCTTCTGAGAAGCTGGACCTGCGAAGGACACTGCCTGGCTGACTCTGCCTACCTGCCTCTTGGTCCCCTAAAGAAGAAGCAGCAGAATCTGGCTTCTGAGGGCTGCTGGAGGAGAACAAGTGAGAGCTGCTACTCTCGGCATTGCTGCTGTGGCTCTGACAACTGGCAGTCCGGCCATGGGGGTCTGGGTTGCCGATAGCCAGGTACTCTGGCCCCTCACTGGCATCACTTGGGGAGTCATTTTGGCTGCTGACCCAGGATGCTTCTATGGGGCTAGTCAGAGTGCTGGAACTCATTTCATGTGGGGTCAGTGGGGAATCCTGGGCTAGAGCTGGGTCTGAAAGCAGTGGAGCTTGGGCGGTTTGACTCTCTGCTGGTGAGAGGTCTCTGTCTTCTTGAGGTTTCCAGGGAGGGCCAGAAAGTGAAAAGGAAGTGGATCTTCTCTCTAGGACATTAAAAAAAAACAAGAAAAAGGTAAGGGGAAAGAAAAGTAAGCAGGAGATCTACAGTACGTATATAGGTCCCCAGGTAAGGGTACTCAGGATACATGTCACTCAGAAAAGGTAAGCCAATTAAAGTAAAGCAATGATTTAGAGGCAGCAAAGGTGGGGGTATGGGCACCTGAGCTAGTAGTGGCTTCACTGCTCTTCAGCATGAATCCCTCAACTGCAAAATGAGAGGAATAATGAGAATAGCAACCTCATAGGACTGCTTTAAGGATCAAATGAGGTAATACACACAAAGTGTAACAAAGCCCAGCATGGTGCGGCACTCACCATGTTCACAACTAAAGACCTTATTTGCAGCCCAAAGCAGCAGCTCAAAAGCCTCTAAGGACATCTCTTTGTTGCTACTTTATTAATACTATAGAATTCTTTTAGGCTGGCTGCTGGGTAGCTTTCTGTTTTATTTTGTGAGGCAGGGTCTCACTGTGTGGCCCTGGACACCCTTGAACTTGTAACCATCTTCTTGCTTCTATTTTCTGAGTGCTGGGATTACAGCCCTGCACCACCACATCAAGCAACTACAGCTACGTATCTTTTTATGATGCCTATTACAAGGACATTTTTACCAACCCAAGCCTCGACTCCCAGTCTGTGGTCACTCACAAAGGCTCTCTACTTTCCAGATGTGAAGATATATATAAGGACTGCCCGTTCCCACCCTTACACCTAAGGCCAGCCTGGGCTACCTAGTGAAACTCCTTCAGTAAACAGAACAGAATGAACAAATCAAAGGATGAGAAGGTGAAAACCAAAACCAACCAAACAAAAGCAGGTTCTGGCCTGTGAGCACTCACGAAAGCCCTCTGTTTCCCTGGCCTAAAATACAAGCAGTAATGACATGTTATCTGCCCCATACCTGAGCTGTGGTGGGGCATGGACTGGTGCAGGTTAGAGGAGGAACCGAAGTAGGTCTGCTGAGCACAGCTGGCTGGAGGGGTGTATGTGGAACCAGGCAGAGCCGTCAGACTCTGGCTCTTTGTAACCAGCAGTGGGCTCTCGTGCTTTCTGGCAAACTAAAACAAAAGAAAACGTGTCAGAATGAAGCCTGGAGGCCCTCAGAGGAGGGCCATTCATTACTACAGAAATGCTGAGAGGCGCCAGTATTTGACAGTATGCCTGGACTACTAGAGCCAGCAGCTCCAGCTCAGCTGCCCTCTGCCGTAGTCTACCACACTGAGACTGAAGTGCTGCTGTACGCTACAGCTTCTACACGGGACCCTTCTAGCATACTCTCTCCTGTAAGAAGTGCAACAAAGACCTTAAGAATATACACGGGAGGCTGGGAACACAGCTCATGGAGGAAAGTGTACTTGCCCTGCAAGTATGAGAACCAGCATTCATAGCCCATCACCAGTGTAAAATCCAGGTGGGCGTGGCAGCCTGCATGGGAAGCAGACAGAGGATCTCAGGAGCAAGCTGATTAATTATATTAGCCATCAACACACTCCAGGTTCATCTAGAGACCATGCCTCCGTATATAAGAGAAAGAGCAATAAAGGAAGACACACCCAATACCGATCTCTGCTCTCTGCAGGCAGGCAGATAGACACACACAAGTGCGTATGCACCTGCATGCACACGTACACCCATACACATGGAACAGGTATACAAACATGCATATACACCACACATAAATACATACCCAAAAATGATGCATGTGGAATCAAAAGTTAGATAGAGTGGTGGTCTAAGCCACTGTGTCACTTATAAGCACCTGATCCAAGCTTTGGGAGAGAAGGAAAGAGTGTGTGGGTTCAGTGATCTTTCCTTTTAGACTTTTTAGTAGGGCCTTGCTATGTCATTTTGGCTGGCCTGGTACTCATGATGTAGCTCAAACTGCTCTGCCCTCAAGCTTGTGTCTATCTCCTGCCTCTTAGACTCCCAGGTGCTGGGATTTACAATAGTGAGTTACTTTGCCTGGCCCCTAATGACTTCTTTTCTTACTTTCTTCTTTTGCAGGTAGGTCATACATTCATACATGTGTGTGTGTGTTCCCCTGTGCACAGACACGTGGAGGCCAGAGCTCAATACTAGGCATTTTCTTCTATCACTCACCACTTCAGTTCACCTTTCCCTTCCATCCTCTTCTACTCCCCTCACCCTCATCCCTCCCCCCTTTCCTTTTTTATTTTTAAGATAGGATCTCATAGTCTAGGCTAGCTTAAAACTTATTCTTAGTCCAGGCTGGTCTCAAACTCTGACCCTTCTGCCCCAACCTCCCAAGTGCTGGGATTACAGGTGTCTGTCAACTTGACACAGCTAGATTTATCTCAACTGAGAAAATGCCTCCATCAGGTTGGCCTGTAGGATATGTAAGCCAAATAAACTGTTGTTTTACTTCAGCAATAGAGAGCAGACTCAGACAACAGTCATGTAAAACCACACCCAGCTCTTTCCAAGCATTTTAACATGAAAGTCTTTCTGCCTCAGTAAGGAAGTCACGTGCTACTGGAGAGTGTACAGCAGGACAGACACGGGTAATTCTCTGCCCCCTTTACCATAGATGCATCAATCTGAGCCAGGAGACGGGGGTTGTTCTGCTCCACTGCTTCCAGGCACTGGAGCATGGCTGTGACATGGGCATCACTTAGCAGGAAAGCAGTTTCTAGGAAGAAAAAAAACATACCACAGTGATGAAAAAAGAAGCTTAGAGAAAGAGACAGAATAAAAAGGAATTGAGGAAAAGCATGCTACCATGGAGACAAAGGATTTGGGGACAAGTATAAGAGAACCTCAGTTGTATGAAGTCTAACATAGGAAGTTCTAAAACCAGAGAGGCCCAGAATTGGACCCTGGTTCTGTGTGACTCTGGCCAAGTAACCGAGGCTCTCTGACTAGAAAACAGTTATCCTACTACCCAGCTCTGGGAGCAGCTGTAAACAGGGCAGTAGAACAAGTGGCCAGCACATAGGAAACTCAATTCATGGAATTTCTTCTCAGTTTGCAGGAATCAGACAGGAACATCTTGGCATGGATGTTTTTCAAAGGGGGTGCAAGGAAGCCTGGCTATGTGTTTTTGAGTAGAGTCTACGGCATCAAGTAAATTTTAGGAGACTCTGGTATAGAAGCAATCTATAGAAGAACAGAGAGATAGAAGATCACAGGAAGTACTCACGAAGCCCTGAGGAGCTTCTACTTACCTGTGTAGAATTTTCTGATATACTGTCTATCCCCAAGCAGAGGCCGGAGCTGGGCCGAGAGGCAGTGGCTCTGCAGGCTGTGCTGCAGCCAGAGCTCTGCAACAGCACGGTTGCTCACATCAGCACTGCTCTGGCCATTCTCATGCAAGTTGATGAACTGGGGAGGCAGAGACAGGAGTCAAAACACATATTCTGGCAGATAGAGCGCATTGGTGAAGGCCTAGTGACCCAAGAACTACACTCAAGACAGGTAAGGGAAGGCTACCCCAGGTGACTCCTCCATCTAGCTTCCAGGAGATACAGCAGGACGGTGGAGAGATAAATGGCTTTTCTACTCTACCAGACCTCAGGAGAAGCAAGCCTGCTAAGTTTGGCTCTTTATGTTCTATCTCCAAAGAGGTTATCTCTAGGATATTCACAGGAAGGGGTCAAAGGCATTTGACTTCTTGGCTTCTCACAGAGTCCTCTATTTCAGGGCCTCCAGAGAGAAAAGTGGTAAAAAAAAGATCTTGGCATGTGTGTATGTGGAAGGGTTGGCCTAGGAAAAAAAAAAAGACCAAAATTTCACTAGAAAAATTTTTTTGAGTTTTTTTTTTTTTTTCTTTCAATGTGTATAGTGTTTTGTCTGGATATATGTGTGTGCAGCACATGGATGCAGTGCCCACAGAGGCCAGAAGAGGGCGTCATATCCCTGAGGACCGGAGTTACAGGTGGTTGTGAGTCATCACGTGGGTGTTGGGAACTGAACCTGGATCATCTAGAAGAGCAGCAAGTGTTCTTAACCACTTAGTCAGCTCTCCAGCCTAAAGATCCTCTTAAGAGGAGCCACCTGAACACTACCTTTTGGTTGTGGCCATAACAGTCTCTCTTAAGAACCACTGCCTCCTCCTCCTCCAGTTTTCTAAGAACAAGGTCTCACAGCCAGGATTGGTACAACAAAATGAGTCAACAGCAGTGTCAGGAAGCTCCTCGGAGGAAATGGCTACAGCACCACATGTAACGTGTGAGGGCACACACCTGTTAATCCCGGTGCACAGGAAACTAAGGAAGGGTGACTACACATTCAAGGGCAGTTTGGGCTACCTAGTGAAACTCTACCTCAGTAAATACAACAGAACAGAATGAACAAAGGAAAGATGAGAAGGCCAGAACAAGCTGTGTATCTTTGGTCAATTCACCTGACTCCGTTGAGCTGTTTCCCTGACTGGAAACCTGGAGCCCTAGGTGGAGCTGGAAACACAAGGATCCAAAGCAGCCAAAGCCTTTAAGGTAGCATTCAGTCCACTGGACTCTGGCCTCCAGAAACTGTTTTCTGCCTGAAGTACTTTCAACAGTTGGTGCATCAGCCACACACACTCCCCTTATTTCTTTAGGGAAATTCTTGCCATTTGCCCCTAGGTTTTTTTTTTTTTTTTTTTTTTTTTTTTTTTTTTTTTTTTTAAGTTTTTCATTAGACTATTTTCACCCATTTCCCAGGAGATGAAAAGGCATTCTAGACTAATGGACTTGTATGGTTGGTTGGTTCACCTTCCCTCTAAGTCAGTGCTACAGAGACAATCTCCTTCCTCCAATTAAAAGAAATTGGACACACTCCATCACAGGGAGAAAAGACTCTCGCAACTGTGTACCAGTGAAGACTTGCAGCCACACCCCAGCAAGCCAGCTCTCCTTTCACTCTTACCTTCTCAACATGAAGGGCTGAGTGCGGACTCAACCACCGAATGTCTTTCACAAACTGCCAGTAATCTGCCTGTCGGCAACATACCTGCCAAACAAACACCAACATGATGAGCAGATCCCGACTGTTGACAGCAAGAGAGAGAGAGAAGTAAAAGCCAGACATAGGAGCATACCTCTGTAGTATCAGTGCTTGAGAGGTGGAGGCAGAGGATCTTGAGAGCAAGGCCAGCCTGAGCTATATAGTGAGACTGTATCTCTAGAACAAGAAACAAAACAGAGGCTGAGGGGTAGGAAAGAGGAGGAGGGAAGAAGGGAGAGGGAAAGGGAGAGAAAATGAGAATAACCTTCCTTTGCTTCATCAAAGGCTGCCAGCAGCAAGCAAAGGAATATATGATATACACATTTATTCTTTTAAAATGATTTAAATTGTTCTCATGTGGATGGGCCATATGTGTGTGCACGTGTAAACACATATTCACCAAAGCCAGAGATCAACACTGGGTGAAGTTCCTCGGAAACACCTTCCACCTTAGTTGAGACAGTCTCTCACTGGAACTCACTCAGGCTAGAATGGCTGGCCAGTGAATCCCAAGGAGCCACCTGACTCCTGCCTCACCAGCACTAGATTACAATGAGTACCACCACACTGGCTTCTTAACACACTCAGGTCCTCACGCTTGTGTGGAAGCACCTCACCAACTGAGCCCTAAACTGTTCTGAATAGGTATTAATGCATACGATATAAAACGTATACAGTGAAAATGATCTGTCTTCTACTCCTTTTCTCTTCACTATTCGGTTTCCTACAAGGTAATTTTTCAAACTAGTGTAGTTAGCTGCTTTAAAAAAAAAGGTGAAAGTGTTTAATACCTACTGCAAAGAAAATGAAATAAGGAAACACTTGGTTTTGTCATACATGTTGTCTAAAAAAGACTGCATTTTAGAGTCAAAGAAATGTGAAGTCCTTGATAGACTGAATGGTGTTACACTGGAAGAGGCCCAGACACAACAACAAAATGTTTTCTATAATGAAAACCTAATTGTTTTTTGGACTTCCCTGTGGTGGTTTGCATACGTATGGTCTCCATGAACTCATGTGTTTGAATGCTTGGCCCATAGGGAATAGCACTATTAGGAGATGTGGCCTTGTTGGAGGAAGTATGTCACTGTAAGGGTGGGCTTTGAGGTCTCATATGCTCAAGCTATGCCCAGTGTAGAGGACAGTTCACTTCCTGTTGCTTGTGGATCAAGATGTAGAACTCTTAGCTCCTTCTGCAATGCCATGTCTGCCTGCGCTCTGCCTTGCTCTCTGCCATGATGATAATGAACTAAACCTCTGAACTGTAAACCAGACCCAATTAAATATTTTCCTTCATAAGAGTTGCCATGGTCATGGTGTTTGTTCACAGTAATAGAAACCCTAATTAAGACAGCCCCTTCTCAGATTACTGGACAGGAGTTTGAATTTATATTAAGTAGTCTTTCTTTTTTTAAACTATTTATTTTATGTGCATTGATGTTTTGCCATGGGTGTCAGGTCCCCTGGAACTGGAGTTACAGACACTTGTAAGCTGCTATGTAGGTGCTGGGAATTGAACCTGGGTCCTCTGGAAGATCAGCCAATGCTCTTAACTGCTGAGCCATCTCTCCAGCCCTTAAATAATCTTTCAAACATAGAACTGGCACAAATATCAAGAGACAAACCAACTAATAGAACAAAATAAACAGTAAGAAAGAAACCTTAAAATACATCAGAACTTAATGTGGGATTCAAAAAGCATCTCAAAAATCAATGGTAAAAGAAGAGGCTGTGGATTAGAGGAAATGTGTTTGTTGGTGTGAGCAAGGCCCTGTGTTCCATTTCCAAGGATGGGGGGAGAGGAAGTCAATGGTAGGAACCACTATAAACAATTATGTGTCAATTCATTGGAAAACCTGTAACATTTGCTAATTTTAGTAACATTTAATACCAAAACTGATGTATGAGGACAGAAAAAAAAAAAAAAAAACTGAACAGAGCAATGAATGGCACTATTTAAAACGTTGATAAAATGTGTCCCAATACATCAGGGCTCAGGAACAGATGGCACCACTGATAAATTACCAAAGCTCTAAAACACTGTGATATGAAAGCCAGACAAAGATGCAACAAAAAGCTGTTAGTCAAAATCCCCAATGAACATAAATACAAAGCTTCTCAGCACAATGCTAACAAACAAGCACATTAAAAAGACTGTATACCAGCCAACAAGATGGATGGGTAAAGGTGCTTGCTACCAAGCCTGCCAACCTGAGTTTGAGCCCCAAAACCAATGATAGAGAGAGAAACAACTCTCGGAGTGCACAACCCCCATAAATAAATACATGTAAAAAAAACTATTTAAAAAGATTATATGATCTACAATTCAACCCTTACACCCAAGGCTCAGGGAACATGATGGAAGGACAGAAAGAGGATCAGAAAAAATGTAAAAGCCAGAGGGCTAGGATGTCTGCTGTGAGACAGCGACTTCTATATTTGACAGGGAAGCTGCACCATGGGGTCTTAACAATATGGTTGCCTAAACAAGACCTCACAAGGACATCAGCTGAAATGTCAAAGTGGAGGGGAGGATTTCACAGGGCCTCATTCCTAGATGAAGAGCTAGAGACAATCACAGCTACTGAAAGAGGGCATATCATTCCTCTCTAGAGGTTTGTATATAAGACACTAGCATATTGTAGCCACTATTTTACACTCTGCTCTTTTCACTTAACATACCTTATAATCAATCCCAAAGCATGACTGTAAAATGTTACATTTATTTGGGTGTGTGTGTGTGTGTGTGTGTGTGTGTGTGTGTGTGTGTTGCTCAAATTCTTGCCACAGTGTACATGTAGAGGTCAGAGGATAACTGGTTGGGAGTTGGTTCTCTGCTTCTGCCATGTTGGTTGCTCAGGTTGCCAGGCTTGGCAGAAAGCACTTTTACTCATTGAGACATCTTGGTGGCCCTTTAGTTGTTGTTCAAAATCATATATACATATTCAATGAGTACACACACAAAAAAAAAAAAAAAAACCCAAAACAGGAGCTGAGAGCACCATGCCCATTCCTGTAAATGTAACACAAAGGAGACAGAGACAGGAGGATCTCAATTGGAGGTTAACCTAGGCTATATAGCAAGACCTTGTCTCAGAAACACAAAACCAAAACAAAAAATGAGGGTGTATAACAAGAAGTTATTCATATTTACTTTCATAAGTATACATTCTCTTGATGGAAGCTGTAAGAGGTAGTAACTTATGTTATCAGAAGACAATCAAAGAGAGACTTTCCACTATATGGTTTTATACTCAAATGTTATAGCCAAGTAACCATGTAAAGTGTATTATCTATGCAAAAATTAAACATTTTAAAGTAATGTATCTAGTGATACATATGGTACAATCTTAATTAGTTTAAAAGGTATAATGTAAGAATTTAAATATAAGAAAATATAAGAACATCCAACAGAACGCTAAACAGTAGATATTTTTACTTGGTATTAAAATTATGGGTGATATTTATTTTTCTGACTCTTCTTGGCATATGTCAAAGTTTCAACAAATAAGAATATATTATGTATATTTTAAAAAATAGGTCTTTTTTCATTATTATTACTTTAAAAATCAGGGCCAGGCAGTGGTGCCCTCTACCCTTAATCTCAGCATTCAGGGGGCAGAGGCAGGTGGATATCTGTGAGTTTAAGGCCAGCCTGGTCTACAGAGTGAGTTCCAGGACATCCAGGTCTACACAAAGAAACCCTGGCTCTGAGGTTAAGAGCACTGGTTGCTCTTGTAGAGGACCTGGGTTTGGTTCCCAGAACCTACATGGCGGCCCACAACTGCCTGTAACTCCAGTTCCAGGGCATCCAAGGCTCTCTTCTGGCTTCCCTGGGTACCAGACATACACATGGTGCACATGTATACAACATGTAGATAATATACTCGGACACATTAAAAAGTTTGATTGGGCCTACATTGCTAAGCACAGTTTCTTCTTGGAGCTAGGGACGGGCATCCCACTCTGCTGAGGCAGCTAGGGAACTGTCTCCTCTTTTCTAAGCAGCAGAACAGAGATGGTATCATTATCCCTTGCTTTACAAAAGGGGTAAAAGGTGTTCCAGATGCGGGCTGACTAAAATGAGATCCCTCTAAAAAAATGGTCACGATGTACAGCCTCCCAGGGGCCTGGAATGATTGAAACGAAACAGAACTCACATCCACAACACATTCTTATGAAAACAAAGGGGAGATATGACCAACATGAATCATCGCGTCCCTTCCCCTTTCCAAGGACACATACCCAGAATAGTTTCCCGATGACACAGCAGCCTGAAGCCTTTGAAAGCACTAGGCTTTTTGGAAGGAAACAACAGGGAGAAAATTCTGACACCAACTTTAATTCTTAGACCATAACAAGGCACAGAGCAGCAACAAAATTGATGTGGAGCCTTTGTTCTGTTTTTTTTCTACTAGAGCTTATATGTACTATGTGCCTCTACATGCTGTAATGTGTCTGTGTGTCAAGTGGTTGTCTCCGCTTCAATTTCCTAGCACTAGCTAGTTTTGTAAATGGTCACACACAGTCTTTAGAATTTTCCTTCTGAAGAACAGGTGCTTTCATAGATGCCATCAATTCTGAGAACTCTGATATGTTAGCAGCATTTTGCATTTGCAAACTTGTTTTGAGAATCTCATCAACATTTCTCCTTTTCTGGTACATACAGATGGCAAAACTATCATGTAATCTGGTTAGGTTACTATGTGACAATGTAAAATTAGTAACAGGGACAAGAAAAGAACTTTTGTTATCAAGACAAGACTACTTTAACCACTGAATGGCAGCACTGCTAATCTGGCAGCTATTTTGGTCACCAGCCTGGGAAACTTGCATTTTGTTTTTAACAAAACATTTTGGCACTAATCCCAAATTTCTGAACGGAACACTGGGTAGTTCAATACTACAAATTAGCATACCAAGATGAAAGGCAATCTCCTGGGAGAAAATATATTTAGTTTTGGCTGTGCTTGTTGGATAGGAGAGAGACAAATTATAATACAGAG